CAAGTCCAGGTTTCTTTAAATTGTCTGAGAGCCCTCACTGGAAATGTCCTTAAAGACTAGATTTCTTCTAACAGTGAACTGAAAGCTTGCTAGTGTCTTTTTTTATTTTAAACATTCCTCTATCCAGTTCCTGATACTAAAGCCACATTTACATTTTTAGGTCCCTTTTAACAGCAGCACTTGGCTTGTGCTAAGATCTGTAGTCATTTTCTATTACTGCCATAACAAATTACCAAGAACCTAGTGGCTTAAACCAACACAACTTTATTATTTCACAATTTCTATAGGTCAGATGTCCAGGTACTGCTTGGGTTTTGGCTTGGAGCTCAGGTGTCAGGATGGTGGTTATTTAGTTTAGAAGTTCTGGGGATGAATCTTCTTAAAAAAACTCATTGAGGGTATTGGCAGAAATCAGTTCCATATGGTGACTGTCACCTCATTCCTTGTCCTCTTCTTCATCTTCAAAGGCAGTAGTTGCAGATCGTGTCCTTTTTTATGCTTCATATTTCTCTGACTTGACTTTTCTGCCTTCTATCACTGTTAAGGGCTCATTTGATTACACTGGACCAATGGAATAATCTAGGATAATTTTTTAGTTTAAGATCCACTGATATTAATAAAATTCCATCTGTAAAGTCCCATACTAGTGTTTAGTTGAATTTCTTGTCAGCCAGATCCAGGGATACAATTTTGGAGCATCTTAATAAATCTGTCTACTGTGTACAGGTGGCCCTCTATATTTGTATGTTCAGCTAACCACGGATTGAAAATACTTGGGGCAAAAAATTGCATCTGTACTGAACATGTATGGATTTTTTTGGTTATTATTCCCTATTCAATACACTGTAATAACAATTTATGTAACATTTATATTGTATTTGTTATAAGAAATCTAGAGATGATTTAGAGTGTAATGGGAGATTGTGTGTAGTCTTTTTGTAAATACTACACCATTTTATATGAGGGTTTTGGCATTTTGGTATCCTTGGCAGTGTCATGGGACTAATTCTCCTCTGATACTGAAGGATTAGTATGTATTGTGATCAGAATTCTAGAATGTCATCTCAACCTTTTAAACTACATAATTGAGGTGTAATTAGTTCCAGTCTTAACAACCTTAACAGCCTTAACTTGATAAAACTCCTGTAACGAGTAGGTAGGTAACAGTGTGTTATTATATACACAAATAGAGATTATTCAGTTGTTTAATGGATTCATAAGTAATCCTAGGGCCATTTGGAATGGAAAAGCATTGTATCAGTTCATTTTTTTATTGCCAATAACAATACTGCAAAGTAAATAAGTTATAAAAGAAAGAAGTTTATTTTGGCTCACAATTTTGGTCCAGTGTTATACCTTTTATGTTTAAAGGCTCTGTTTACTGGAAAATAAATTTTCTTATTGTGGTCAAGTAGAAGAACACAGGATTAAAGTTAAATATCTTTTTATTAACTTTTTTCCTAATGCTTCTGTGAGGTTTTTATAACTGTAGAAATCATTTAGGAAAGTATAAAAACTGTGATAGGAAAAGTATACCTGTCATAAATTGGCCACTGGGAGCCACTGCTGCTTCTACTTTGAGTTTAATTTGTGTATAGAAAATCTTAACAGGGCATAAATGAAAAAGTATTTTTTTAAAGATCTGACAGATGTGAGACTAAAGCTAGATATAGGAAAGGGGCATTGACTTGAGAAAATTGAGGGGAAAAACCTAGTGTTCACTTAGCTTTTTTTAGTTCCTAATATTTAGTGTTAAATAAGTGAGAGTTTCTTATATAATTTATAAATTTTCTGAGATTGGTAGCTTTTATGAAGATATTTCCTGGGATACAATGGCATGACTGTTACTTGTTTTTTTTGTATCCAATAAGGAGTCTTTTTTTTTTTCCCCTTTAAAATCTGTAACTCATGTTAAGATCTCTTTTAGGATCTTAATTCTGGAAAACTTTTTGTCATTTGACAAAATAAGAAATTGGAATTAAAGAATATTGTAGATTCTTTTTACAATGGTCTTTTATTGCCCCTGGTAAAGAAGATTGAATATGTTTGCTTCATTTTCTCCATTTTCTCCCTTATTTTTCTTTTACTGCAATTAAATTTTCCTCTGCCACTGCCGCTGCCTCCTCAATTTTTTTTATAAATTCGTTTCCTTATTTATTAGCTCTGTCAGCTGTCTTCCTAAATGATACACCATTTATTAATGAACTAGAATCTTTGTCTTAGCATATTAATAACAGGTTAGATATCTTATTAACTGATATGCACTTTCTGGCAGCTTTCTTTCTTTCTTTCTTTTTTTTTTTTTTGCTGAATCTCGAGGTCTGATAGTGTTCCCAGAAGTGGGGAGAAAAGAGACTCTTTGATCTAGTTCAGCTGTCCTATATTCTGGAAAGCTCTTTTTCTTTGGTTCTTACATTTTTTCATTATTAGATTATCAATTCCTTTAGTACAGAAAATCTTTCTATATCCAGAGATGAGTATAAGGGGACTTTAATAAATGTTCATTGACTGAATATGTTGATGGATATAAGCTTGTAGTGAATTGCATCGTGGCCCCCAAAACAATATGTCCATGTCATAATCCCTGGAACCTGTGACTTACTATGTGCGCCCTCAAAATATGAGTAAGGATCTTGAGAGGAGGTGTGAACAAGAAGAGTTCAAGTGTTGAGATGGCTGTGGCGTGAGGGTGAGGTTGAGGTGGTGATTGTTGATTACTTTGGGTAGTCCCTAAATCCAGTCCTTTAAAGATAGAGGCAGGGAGAAATTTGACACAAAGGAAGGGAAGAAAATACAGAGAGAAAGGTGATTTGAAGGCTGAAGCAGAAATTAAAATATTGTCAAAGTATATAAGCAGTCACCAGAAACTAGTCATGAGCAATGGATTTTCCTGTAGAATCTCCACAAGGTGGCCACCTTTGTGCGCCCACTACTGATCTTGGACTTGTGGCCTCCAGAACTGTGAGAGGTAAATTAATGTTCTAAGCCATCCAGTTTGTGCTAACTTGTTAACAGCATCCATAGGTGACTAATATAGATTGTATTTGGAGGCAATTGTGTCCTAATACCAATATCTCTTACTGAATAAGAGGATTGGGATATTTGTGTCCAGTTTGACAAGGCACATTTTTTCTTTAATAATACCAAGTAAACACTGACTTTATTAGTTTTTTTTATTGTTGCTAAACCATATTGTCACAAATTTGTGACTTAACTCAAATTGATTTTGTTAATGGTTGTGGAGGTCATATGCTCAAGATACATCTTGCTGGGCTAAATCAAGTCATTGGTAGGGATTTATTCTTTCCTGGGAAGGTCTAGAAGAGAATCTGTGTGTGTGGGTGTGTGCGTGGGTGCGCATGCTTCTAGAAGCTGCCTATTTCTTCACAGCCAGCCTCAACTAGTGATCCTTTCCTCTTATATCATTCTTTCTCTTTCTTTCCCAATTAAGGACCCTTGTAATTTTATTGGGCCTACTCTGATAATCCAGGATAATCTCATTTTTAATTTATTTATTCTTATGCCATTAACTATGGTATCATTTAGTGGTCCCCATTTATGCTGGAAGGGATTATATTTATGTTTTAGTAAAAATAATGATAGTGTTTAAAAAATCACATAGTATTTAAATACTTAAAATGAAATATAGCAGTCTTTTTTTTAAATTTAAATTATTGGTGGTACTATGGATTGAACTCAGGGCCTCACACATATTAAACAAGTGCTCTACCACTGAATCATGTTCCCAGTAAAATATTACAGTGTAGCAGTCTTTTGACTTATTCATCAGGAATCTAAATGAGGTGCTATATCAGTTTTCTGTTGCCTCTGTAATAAACTACTACAAATCTATTGGCTTTAAACAACTTAAATTTATTCTCTTATAGTTCTGAAAGTTAAAAGCACAAAATCAGTATCACTGGCCTAAATTAAAGGTGTTTGTAAGATTGGTTTCTTCTGGAATAGGGAAAATTGGCTTCCTTGGATTTTATCACCTTCCAGCTGTTTTCTTCAGTTTTTGATCCACTCTTCCATTTTGAAGGTATAGCATTCCAATCTCTGTTTCCATCAGGACATCACCTTCCACTATAGTAAAATCTACTTCTGCCTCCCTGTAGTTAAAATCTACTTCTGCCTTCCTCTAATAAGGATACTTGTTAGAGTCTACCTGAACAATCCTGGGTAGTTTCTCTACCTCAAGATTTGTTGTCATATCTGCAAAATTCATTTCTCCATAAAAAGTAGCATTCATAGATTTCAGGGATTAGGGCATGGTCATCTTAGAGGGCTGTTGTTTAGCTAACTACATAGGTTACATAAATAATTCTCGATCTTCACATTTGTTAAGTTTATTTTTTCAAACATAAATAATGCTATTCTATTTTATGCCCCCATATGAACGTAGTTATATATAACTATGTAAATAGAGTTCAGTGCTGAGCTAATTAATAAATTATGATTTGTCCTTTTTGTAAAACTTGATTTTCTAATAGTTAATTATTGACTTATTTTCTCCATTAATCTAATTTTCTGTGTGCCATTTGCTCCCTTTAAGCAAACATTCTGTTGCTACGATACATATCTATTTATAGAAGCCTCACACAGTTTCAAGTACGTTTTTCTTTGAGAACTTCTCTCAGCCTGTCTTTTGATGGCTTCTTGTTTCAGTATGGTGTGCAACTATCATCATCCTAGAAAATGCCTCAGTTTCTAGTATTGAGCCTTTTCCTTGGTAGCATATCTTTTTCTTTTCTTACATACTTGTGAAGAACATATTTGAGCAACTTTTCCAGAAAGATTTCATCAGAAGTAAAATTTAAGACTTCATAGTGGAAATGCATTTTTAATTTCTTTATATTTGGTTGGTTGGGTATAACATTTTAGATTGGAATTTCACAGGTGTTGTTCCATTGTTTTCTATCTCCCAGTGTTTCATGGATGTCATTTATGGTGACAGTTCTTGAGAATTTGTGGCCTGTTTTTAAATTTTTTTTATCTTTAAAAATATGGAATGCTTCATGGATTTGCATTTATCCTTGTGCAGGGGCCATGCTAATCTTCTCTGTATTGCTCCAATTTTAGTGTATGTTCTGCTGGAGCGAGAACATGTGGCCTGTTTTGGGAAAAATTTACGATCTCTCTATGGTTTGTGTTCTCAATTTCACGAATGTGTACTGGTGTGGGACTTTTTCATTTGTTTTGCTAGGCACATCAAGTTCTGGGAACTTTCCTGTATTATTTGTTTGATAATTGCTTTCTCTGTTCTTTCTTTCTAGAATTCCATTTGTTTATGTGTTGGATCACTGCAGAGATTTGTAATTTTCTACTTTTTCTCCCTTATATTGTCACTTACAGCTGAATTTTACTTTCTCAGATTTTCTGAGTAAGTTTTTTCTTTTGCCTGTCATTTCAATTCCAAGAATCTTTTTTTTTGTTGTTGTTGTCGTTTGTAGAATGCACTTAGAAATGTAGCATCCTCTTCTTCCTGTAAAATGTCTTAGCAATGAGGTTAATAGTGGTCTTTTTATTTCTGCTCTTATTATCTGTTTCCTTTTTTTTCTTGGTTTTTCTATTTTCCCTCCCCCTCAATTGTTGTTGGACAATGCAATTTATTGAATGAGGCATAAAAAGCTACTTGGAATTTTTTTGTGTGTGTGTTTAGACTTCAACATTGGCTGGGGTGGAGGGAAGAATTGATGCAGAGAAGCTGTTTTGCTTTTTATTTTGCTTCACTGTAAGAAAAATGGATAATAAGCTTATTTTTATTTTTAGTTGGGAGAACCTAATTCTACCATGTATAATTATTTTTCCTCATACAATTTTCCGAAGAATCCTTTAAGAGCCTTAAAGCTGCTGTTCTTGGGGGATTGGGATGTGGCTCAAGTGGTAGTGCGCTCGCTGGCATGTGTGAGGCACTGGGTTCAGTCCTCAGCACCACATGAAAATAAAATAAAGATATTGTGTCCATCTAAAACTAAAAAATAAATATATATTTTAAAAAGCTGCTGTTTTGAATACATACAGGGACAAGTCTCTTATTCCAGTATGCAGATTTTTCACTTGATCTCCTTATAGTTGTTCTGTGTTTTTGAGCTGTTTTGGGGGTGGGGGGAACGATGAAATCCTTGTTCTCTTGGGGATGGAGTGGAAGAGTGACAGTTATCTGGTTACCTAGGATTAGGAGAGGTCTGGTATCTAATCTTTTATTGTACACATTTTAATTTTCTTTGACTTTTAGCATTCTTTCACCTGTGGTCTCCAAAATTTGAGACTTCCTTGAATGATTATCATTAGTGTCTGGAGGTACGAGTGGTGAATACAGGTGTTCAATTCATCATGCTTTTTTATTTGTTTGGTATCGGGGATTGAACCTGGGGGCACTTTACTGCTGAGCAACCTCCATAGTCATTTTTATTTTTTATTTTAAGGCAGGGTCTTGCTAAGTTGTTGAGGGTCTCTGAGTTGCTGAGGCTATTCTCAAACTTGCTATCCTCCTCCTGCCTTAGCCTCCCCAGTTGCTGGGATTACAGGCATGCACTACCACACCTGATTTCAATTCTCCATGCTTAGTTGGATGTTGTATCCCGTTCTTCAGTTTACTCTTTGGGTACAGTGAATTGTCAAATTGTAGAGTCTTCAGAAAGAGTCCCAACAAGATTATTTTTACTTCAGACACCAGTTGCAAGTTTGCGGCGAGGTTCCTAGGGCTACCCTCACTTCAGACTGACTATAAATTTGGGGGTCCCAAGACTACTGTAAAGTTTATATTTAACTATAAAGACTCAAAGAACCTATTGAAAGGTTCTGATAATCATAGTTCTATTACAACAGAAGGATACAGATTAGTACCAGCCAAAGGAACACATACAGGGCATAGTCTGGGAAGGTTCCATATGTGAAGCTTCCCTCACATTGTCCTCAGGGAGATGCATTTTCCTAGCGTTCATGTATGGTAGTGTCTAGAATATAACTAAGTAGGGAAGTTTATTGGTACTTCTGTGTCCAGAGATTCTTTAAAGTTTCATTACATGGACATGATTAAACCATTGATCAAATGGTTGAGCTCAATCTTCAGTCCCTTTCTTATTCTCAGAGGAGGAATGATATGTGACTGAAAGCTCTTTCTGGAGTGACCAACTCCTCCTACTCAGAGTCACCTGGTGAGCATAAACTATCAGGTCTAGCCTGAGAAGCTCATCATGAATTACAAAGACCCTCCTAATGCTCAGGAAATTCCCGGGGTTCAAAGGTTACTTCTAAGGAACCAGAGCTCACACTGGGCAGAGGCCAAATTCTTCATGATGAGAAGGTAACATAATTGCCAGAAAACTTTTTGTCCAACATTTGTTTGCCATGTCTGTTTAAAATTTACTATTCTTTTTATCTTTTGTTTTCACTTATGTTAGGTCTATTTTGGAACAATTGAATCTGTTCTTTAATTGAAGACATTTTCATAAAGGGTAATAAGGTCTTTTGCCCTCTGTTTTAATCTGATTTTATGACGAATGTTTGAATAGTGATTTACCAAGGGAGACAATTACAGTCCAATCTAATGTGGTTTGATAGGTATACTTTATTTTCATCTTATAAAGCATAGCATGTGGGTACCAGAAGCCTGATTTAAAGGAAGTGAAATCAGTGAAGCAATTAAACATTAACCAGGTGGGGGGCAATTATGCTAAACTTATGTAAATAACTTTAGATTAGGTATAAGTAATTATATTTTTTAGAGTAGTTGACAGGGCAAAAATTAGATTGCTTATTCATTTGAGACTTAATTTTGATTTGTCTTCCTTTTAAAGGTCATAATGGTTGTCTCAGTTTGAGCCTTCATTTAATTTCTTGCTTGAAGGTTATTACATGATGTAGCATAACTAAATTGTACCTTCTTAATGGTAATTCAGGACATTTAAAAATTGTATTGGCTTCATATTTTATACCAAAGTGTATCTTTGATTTGTTAAAGACATATCTTTATAGTAAGAACTGAATTTAGTTAAGGGCAGCTTTTGTATAAGTATGTGCTTCTGCTTGGTTCGTAAAGAGATACTTGATTATTAATTGATAAGCACATATATTTATTTTAGAGCATTATAGTTAGTAGTCGAGTTTATTTTGACAAAATCATACATGCATAGAATTTCATTTAATCCATTTCAGTCTCTGTTCTACCTCCTTTTCTTCCCTTCCCCATTCCTCCATTCTCCTTCCTCTACTTGACTGATCTTCCTTTTGTTCATTTATTTATTTTTGATTGGTGATAAGCGGATAGTCTTAAAACATATAACATTTGTCAAAGTGGGATGTTTCGTTTTAAATCAACCTATTTTAGAAATACGTTGCAACTATTAGAAACATTTGTGGTGATGAGGACAAATAATTGTTAAATATATTATTATAACATTTATGTATTTTAGGATTTCTTCAAATTACTTGAAATTTTTTTTAAAAAAAAATAAATGTATAAGCTCAGTTGTGAAAGTCAGTTAATTTTGTAAGACCTTTGTGTAATATTTTGGGATTCTGTCCTCTTTTGCATACCTTTTCTCTGAAGTTAGCATTTGTTGTATACCTTCAATTGCTTAAGTGCTCTTACAAAATATTTGAATGTTGACTTTTCAAACTTTCTGACTGATAATTTTTTTTTTTTTTTACTTTGTTACTTGACTACTGTTTGAACATGAACATGTCAGTAGTCTTGAGTGTCCTTCCTTTTTTCTGTGGGATCTAGACAATATTCATTGTCCACTATGGTCCAAAAACTTTAAATGGAAAATTTTAGAAATAAACAATTCACAAGTTTTAAATTGCATGCCATTCTGAATAGTGTGATGAAATCTTGCACTGTCTTCCAGCATCCTTCCTGGAATCATCTCTTTGTTCAGCGTATCCCATACTAACTTTGTCACTTTTCAGATCTTCTGTTATTATATGATAATAGTACTTATATTCAGATAATCCCTAGATCCTTTACTAATGACCCCCAAAATGCTGGCAATATGGGTATCCCAAAGAAAAGGCAGAACATGCTTTCTTTAAGTGAAAAGGTCAAGTTCTTAATTTTGTAAAAAAGAAGAAGAAAAAAAAGTTGCACTGAAGTTCTCTTAGAATGAATCCTCTATTGAATAGAAATATGAAGAATTTGTGGTTGAAAGAAGACAAAAGAAACTTTTTTTTTTTTTTTGCTGTTACATGTCAAACTCCATAATTACTACCACAGTTCAGACTAAGTGTTAGATGGAAAAGAAAATGAAATTGAGGTTTGGGTACTGTGCATGGTTTCAGGCATCCCCTTCTGGGAGGTGGGTGGTTGGGTCTTGGAACACAAATCACAGATTATTTTGGTAGTTTCAGTTAGAGTAGTTCTGAATTCTAAATTTGAGACCAAAGTCTAGGCACTTATCATATAGCATAAAGAGTTAAGATTTTTGAAATTCTTAAAAAAATTTTTTTTGTAGTTGTAAATGGACAGCCTGCCTTTATTTTGTTTATTTTTATGTGATGCTAAGAATTGAACCCAGTGCCTCACATTTGCTAGGCAAGCACTCTGCCGCTGACCCCCCAGCCCCAGATTTTCAGAATTCTTAAATGACCATATATTTTTCTTTTCAGTTAGAATCACATTGTAGTTTTTGTTTGATAACTTTAATAAAAAAATTTTGATCAGATTATGGTTTTGTTTTGACATTGTTTGGAGGCAAGTAATGGACATCATTTCTAGAAGTCTTTTATATTTGCACTTTTAAAGCAAAATAATAATTTATATTCAGGCCATCTGTTGTTAAAACAGTTAACGTTCATGAAGTTCCTGTCTATCTACTATCCCATTTTATTCTGGGTGTAACAGGAAAGTCTTATGTTATAGGTTTGTTACTGCTACAATGACTCATGGAAAGAAACAGTATATGAACCTTTTAAAAAGTATGTTATATACACCTGTACCTTGTGTTCTGTACATGCAAAGTGGAGATGTTAGGTTCTATTTTATAGATTTTGCTGTTGTAAAGAAATATGAGTACATGTAAATCACCTGAAGTATATCACTTTGTAGATAGCGTAAGTGCTCCATACATGGTAGAATTCTTTATTGTTCATGTTTTTTTATAATTGTTGTTATGTTGTAATATTTGGGAAATGAGGCCCAATAACTTGATCTACATATGACATTTAAGTAATAGAATTGCAAGGTGAACTGATTACAAAATTTACTCATGTGAATCATGTTCCTGGCCCTGTAGAATTTATAGTCTTAAAAGTTGAATACCAGGCCTGGGGTTGTGACTTAGCAGTAGAGTGCTCACCTAGAATGTGTGAAGTGCTAGGTTCAATCTTTGGCACCACATAAAAATAAATAAATAAAATAAAGGATTTGTGTCTGACTACAACTAATTTTTTTTTTTTTTAAAAGTTGGAATACCAAGAGCTTTTCTCCTTTCAGATTATAGCTATCATTGTTTGCTGTGTTAAAAATTAAAATCGCAGAGCCAGGGTACCTATGGCCATCTTGCATACAGACTGAGAGAGATCCTAGAATACTTGATAGTCTGCGAGAAATCCAGCTTCAGCCATCATTACTGTTAATGGTATTTAATGGAAATGCACTGTCAACAATTACAAGGTTTGTACTGTGCAATGAAGATAATATGTTGCCCTGCTACCAAATTGCTCATGAATTTTATCACTGAATAAAGATACAAGTTAAACTTCAAGATTGTTCATCTTAGTCTTCTGGCAGAAAAATCATGAAATTAATTGTTTTCATTGATTTGGTGGATTTATCCTTTAACCTAGATTCTGAGAAGTGTAAAAGGATATTTTGTTCCATCAAAGAAAAGAAGCTATTGAATTTTTTTTTTTTTTTTTTTTGGCTTGTCATCTTCTGGATTTCGTATAGTAAAAGGGCTGTGTGTTCACTGAGGCATGTGTGATTATGACATTTCTCAGATCAGCACCCTTTTTAGCATTCTGCTCTGGACTTGCTGGACTTGGGGCCCACTTATGACTGCAGCTGGGCTTGTTATCCACCAAATAGCTTGCAGTTGATGTCTTTTCCATCAATACCAACATATGATATGGGTTACTATATGGTAGAGTGGGCTGGGATAGCCAGGAACATTGGGTAAGATAGGTGCCATTATTCAGGCACATGAATGTAACTTTTTCAGATAATAAAAAGAAGTCCTTGTAACATAAAAAAGGAAGACAAAAATTTAAAATGTGTTAATTCACTTAAAAATAATAAATTTGTTTCACAGAAACAAATAATTTTTTTTTCTTTAAAAAAACCTGGGGATTGAACCCAGGAGTGCTTAACAACTGAGCCACATCCCTAGCCTTGTTAATTTTTTATTTTGAGACAAGGTCTCACTAAGTTCCTTATGGCCTTGCTAAGTTGCTGAGGCTGATTTAGAATATGTGATCCTTCTGCCCCTGCCTCCTGAGTTACTGGGATTATAGGAGTGTGCTTCCAGGCCTGGCTCAAATACATTTTTTTTTTTTAAGTGAAAACTGTTTCCTAAGAGAAAATTTTTTCATGATAACACATTGTTTCATGCTTCTAAAATCTTAATGTTTGGCTTCATAAAATATAATTGGGCTCTTGTGAATCTGCCTCTGCATTCAACCTAAATCCATGCATACACATCAGTTACCTCTGGAAAAGTCCTTTGAATACTTTTGAGAGTGAGTATGAAAAGGCAAAATTATATTATTAAGAAAATAATTTTGACTTGGCTGATCTCATGATGGGGCTTGGGGGAGTCATGTGTATCTGTATCACACTTGTAAGTACTGCTGCTATAATAAATACAAGTATTAACTAGATTACTGCCTTAGATTAGTCTCATGCTTTAGATTGCCTAGATAGCATATATTTAATATTACCCTATTTTCTAATAGCTTAAATAGAACTCCTATTAGGACCTACTTTATAGGATTATTAGAATTAAATACATTATTAGAATTAAATATCATTTTAAAGAATGATATAAGTACTTAATAAAACAGTTTGCTTACTTCAAAAATTTAGTCCTGTTATGTCATCCTTGTTTGTAATTTTTTATTGATTTCCTTACAGTCACTTGTAAGGGTGTTTTTTTTTTTTGTTTTTTTTTGTTATGGTCTGGTGTGTTGTTACGTTCTACTCTCATCTACTCACCCTGATCCTAAATACTCCTGAATCTCTGTGTGAATAGTGGCCTTCTTCCTATTTTTATCCAATGCAAGCGATGGCCTTTCTCAGGGCCTTTGCACTTTCTATTTTCTCCACCTCATATTCACTTTTTCAGATATTGATATATTTTGTTCCCTGTTTCCTTTAACTTTTTCCTTTAGTGTCATCTCTGTGAAGTTTCTCTCTCTCTCTCTCTCTCTCTCTCTCTGTGAGTGTGTGTGTGTGTGTGTGTGTGTGTGTGTATGTGGCCCTTCAACAGAGAGTTAATCCCTATTTCTTTGATGATAATGATAATGATATCTCTATAGGACTTTGTTTTCTAACACACTAGGTATTTTCTTATCTTTCTTCTTCTAGAATATAGGCTCCATTAGAGTCTGTTTTGTTTTGTTTGTATAACTTGTTCATTGCTGTATCCTCAATACCTAGACTAAAGCTTGGCATATATTAAGTGCTAAAAAAATATTGCTGCTATAAAAATGAAAGAAAATAGTCTGCTTCTTAGAAATACATAGTCCTAACTGGATAGTACCTCTGAGATAAAATAAAGATATAAAGTATTTGGCATGGCATGTTGGACACATGGAAATACTCATTAAATGGTAGATGTTACTGAATAATAAGGAACATGAGAGTAAATCTCTTAGGCATAGTTAATGGCTGTTGGACTAAATAAAAATGTATTTACATTTTAGGGATTGGGCAAATACTGTTGAGGGACACACTAGAAAAATAAACTTGGAAATATATTTTGGAGAGTAAGATATTTGGATTTTGTTCTGTAGGAGCTATTGAATATTTCTAAGGCAGAAGAACTGTAATGAAAGTGGTAGGTTTGGAGGTTAATTGAACAGAAGTTCTTGAGGTTGACTGAGTGATTTTTCTCTTAGTTTTAATCGGAAATTAATATAATATTTAAAAAAATTTTATTAAATAATAAAGCATTTTCAAAATCATAAACTATGTTCAATTATTAATGACTTTGTCTCGTGTGGTAATATGAAATTACCATTTGATTATAGTTGTATGTTTTGGAAAGTTTATATAATTGTTGACTTTTAATATACTTTTTCATTTAAAATTAAGATGTTTGCTTTAAAATAAATGAAGGCGTTTAAATTGGCAACTAATTTACTAAATATACTCATGTAGGGCAAAGTATGTTTAGTCCAGCAAATATTGGTCAACCACGGAAGACAACACTATCTCCTGCCCAGTTGGATCCTTTTTATACTCAAGGAGATTCTCTGACTTCAGAAGATCACCTCGATGACACTTGGGTGACAGTGTTTGGGTAAGCTTTTGTCTTTAAAAAACAAATAACAAATAAAAAACTCATCCCAACATTTGACCATGAATATCATCAAATGGCAAAAAAAATAGAACTGCATAGCAAATATTCACTGCATAGCAAATATTTAGATTCTATAGTTGTTAACAGCTGTGTTTGCTTTATCTATTATCTATTTTCAGTCATCTTTTTATTGATATATTTCATAGTAAGTTGCAGATATCAGGTAATATCACCCTGACACTTCAGTTTGCGTATCATTAACTAGCAATTCAAGGTTTGTAGTTTTTAAAAATCATTTATCTGTGTATGTATCTCTTCCCAAATTATTTTCTCTTAGGCATAGTTAATGGCTGTTGGACTAGGGTTGCCCCTTTAGACCTAAGGAGGTCTCTTTCCATTTTTTTAGTGTCTATCTCTCTGCTTCTAGTAGTCTTAGCAATTTTGAAATAATAATCAAACTTCATTTGTGTACATTCAGTATGTCACAGATCATACTTTCTAGTTACAGAAGTTTGAATATTAGAGAGGATTATAGTTCTAGATGCATTTCGAATTGATTTTTATAGCCAAAAAATACTTTAAGGAACCTTAGAGATCATAATGTGTAATCCTTTATTTTATAGTTTAGGAAACTGAGGTATAGGTAGAAAAACGTACTTTGTTCAGAGGTTCTCATCTAGTTAATTGCAAAGCTTGGCAAAAACTCAAGGTTTTTTGATTTTTAAGTTGATACATATACTATTAGGTAAGGTTTATTTCTGAACCCATGGTTTGTCATACCTGATGTTACTAAAGATATTTTGGGAGTAAAAAATATAAAAATAACACATGAGATCCTCAGGGAAGAACAGTGCACAGAAACTGTTTAGTGGATTCTATGTATTTAATTTAAAATTTTAAAAATTCAAAAGGTATATAAAAATGTATGAGGAATAGCTTTTCATCCAGCTTTTGTTCCCAGCTACAATTTTTTTTAAAGTTTTTTTTTTTTGTAGTTGTATATGAATAGAATGTCTTCATTTGTTTATTTTTATGTGGTACTAAGGATTGAACCCAGTGCTTTGCATGTGCTAGGCAAATGCTCTGCCACTGAGCTACAGCCCCAACCCCTACAATTTGTTTTTAAGGCATTGAATATCACCTGTTTTTTTGGGTGTGTCTCTGTGTGTATACACACATATCTGTCCATCTATCTGTCCTTTCAGTGTGTTTCTATGTGGTACTGATTTTGTTTAGACAAAAAGCAGGGTCATTGGTTCTCCTGATAAATTATGCTTAGTTCTGTATCCGTAGCATTAGGGATGGCTTCTTGATTTTTTTTTTTAATGTTTAAAATTTTATATTCTCATAAAATAGCTGCATGTTTTTGAACATGGATGTCCACTTCTAAGTTTTTTTTTTTTGGACTCAATAGTAATTGTGTCACTTTAAAATTCCCAGTAATTGGATAAATTTTTGAAGTGCTTATATTCATTTTTATATAAGTAAAATCCTAGATCTTAAAAAAGTGAATATTTTCTCACATAAATTTTAATGTGTTTAATTTTTCATTTATTTTTGTGACCCATTTTTTAGAGTTCTAATCCAAGCTCTAGACTAACTGAAGTTAGTGGGTAAAGAATCTGGTAGATGTTTCTGTAGTACTGATGGCTATTTCTGTTTTGAATGATTACAGTTTTCAAATAGAAAACAACTTTATTGTTTGGAGTATAAAAGTAATAATATTTCATTGTAGAATATTCAGACCATAAATAAAGATAAAACACTTTATAAAGAAGAAAGTAAAAATCAGTTTTCCCATACAAAGATATGACTATTAAGATTATTTTTTCAATAAAAATAACTTTTATTATTATGTTTTTATGCCTTTATACATGTACTTTGTTTTGCATTACAATTCTTAGTACACATATATACTACAATTTTTCATATCTCTGTACACAAAGTATGTTGACGACTATTAAGATTTTGATTACCATCTTTTTAAATGATTCTGTATCACTGATATTAGTGCTGAATTTTATTTTTGTTTGGGGAGAATTTTTAGGTGGTACTAATTTCAGAAGATATGACTATATAAAATACTTTTGCTTCTAATAACTATAGTATACATAAATATTTATAAAGACACAAATGCCATAAAATAAGTTGTATATAGAACTGCAGTTTTGTAACAGTTTTTGAAAAGCGTGATAATGTCTTTGAGAATGGGAATGTTAGGTTTGTCAGAGAATGTGGAGATGGAGACAAGCTAAGTTAAAACTAACATTAAGGTGTGACTGTTTAAATAGAGTTGTTGGGTGACTGTTAATAGAGTTGTCCCATATAGGAGAAAACAGGCTGATTAGGGAGCTCTTGTTAATGTTGTAGATAGTTGGAAGGATAATTTGTCCTGAGACACTTGTAACTTTGTAATTTGCATTTGTATTGATAGTGGAAGTTAACTGTTTTGTCTGGACAACTGTTTTTTCAGGTTTCCGCAAGCATCTGCTTCCTATATATTATTACAGTTTGCACAGTATGGAAATATCTTAAAACATGTGGTAAGGCTTCCATTTTTTTTTTTTTTTCAATTCAAGATTTTGGCTAAGTAAAGAGAAACCATGAATTGAGGGAAATTGCTTCTGAATTTTAATTTGTCTAAATTAAAAATATTTATTTAAAGTTTTGAAAGAATGTGTCCTTTGGATGTAGAGGGCTCAATGTTGCATAATATTTGATTTTTAGGAACAAAGAAAAGGTAATCCAGCCTTCCTTTCTTAACTCACAGTCTTTAAAAAAGATGGATTATGATAGATATTATATTACTTTTTCTCAATTTGAGCTTGCTTTATTGGGAATAAAAGAAGAGGAAGTTCCCAAGGTACAGAGTTTTTCAGAGCTCTTTATCTTGTAGAGGGCTTAAAAAAAATCATACAAGAAGTTATACCAATTCTTTTTTCTGTTACTATAGACTTAACTCCTACACAAAGTCATATTGATGAATACAGTTTAAAAAATTCATTGTAACTTTGATATGAGCTTTTTGTGAGAAACAATTATCTTTTGAGAATTACTTTACTTTTAGAAAAAATTTGCCACATATTCTTTGGGAGAATTGAGAGCTGAGTAGAGATTATTGAAAGTGTTTTCGTGTGATTTTTGATAATTTAATATACAGCTTTTTATAGGGCATCAAATAAAAAAATGAAATTATACATTATTCTCAGGTTTTAGTTTTCAAATAGAGTTCATTTAGTATAGATTTTGTATTTTATAACTTAAGAGACACCTTTATTTTTTGCAGATGTCCAACACAGGAAATTGGATGCATATTCGTTATCAGTCTAAACTGCAAGCTCGGAAAGCCTTAAGCAAAGATGGGAGAATATTTGGAGAATCCATCATGATTGGTGTAAAACCATGTATAGATAAAGTAAGTTTTTGGTAATCTAAAAAAAATAGCCTAATTTATATGAAGAGATTGACATTGATGGTTATGTCACATAACTTTACTGTGCCTCTTATTCTGAGTTTTGTAAAATGTGATATTTATAGAACTTTTTGTTGCAAGCCAAAATTATTTAATCAAAAGACTTTAGAGATAATCTGTTGTAAACCCTTTATTTTTCAGAAAAAAGAGGATATAAGTGACTTTTACAGAGACTTGACGCCTATATTGTAGGGCTCTTGATTACTAGTCCATTCTGGCAAAACCAGAAGTAACATCAGATTTTTTTAAGTACTTAAAGGTCTGATCTTATTTTAGGATGAAACCTGATAGTTTACTTTTAAATAGTTGAAGCCTTTTGTTACTCATTTCTGTTTCAAAATACTTAAAAATATATTCTACATATACTTATTAAACAGTAGATTATGTATAATTTAAACTTTGTGGCTTGTAAAAATCATTGTGACCACACTTTGTACATAAATTAGGCACTGTACTTGTTGCCAGTATATACACATAAGCAAACAAAGCACACTACTTCTTGTCCTTATAATTTACTATATCCATGCAATCATATAATTATTGTATTGTACAATTATTGTGTTGTACAATTATTGTATTATGCCATTGTATTGTAAGATGTTCACAAAGGGTAGAGAACTGTTTGTGGTTACTTGGCACTAAATAGCTTTGGACTTTCTTTCTCCCTTCCACTTCAGGTTTCTTCAAGAAACAATTCTTGAATTGTGTTCTTGCAGACTTTTTATGTTCTTGCAGATTTTTCATAGTATGTGTTAGGAGATTATTTTTCTTGTCATTTATAGTTGTATTGAGGTTATTTGAGGTAAATGAGTTGAGATTCCTGACTGAGCATTAGATTTCAAATGCTAGCCACGAAGTATATCATCTTATCAAGCCTAAAATTATTTGAAAGGTTAATTGGATCAAAGTATGCCTCTTTTAAAAATTTTTTCTTTATGTGTATTATGTAATATTAGTAGGTTATGTTTATAAGCAAGGAATTATTTGTTTCTCCAGAGCGTTATGGAAAACAGCGACCGATGTGCTTTGTCATCTCCATCTCTAGCCTTTACACCACCCATCAAAACCTTAGGTACACCAACACAATCGGGAAGCACTCCTAGAATTTCTACCATGAGACCTCTTGCTACAGCATACAAAGCTTCTACTAGTGACTATCAGGTATTTTAAGGATTAGAGATTACATAAGAGATGTACTTGAAGGCTGAGGGCATAGCTTGTTGAACTTTAATTGGGTTGATATATTTGCCATTATATTTGTGCTCAGGTTTTTTTGCCTTGATGAAATCTTGAAACTTCTTAAATTTCCTATTTTAAAGTTAGAATCTTGGCAACTTACAAACTTACCTTGAATTTTTAAGAAATGTCTTTGTTGAGGTTGGGAATGTACTTAGGTGGTAGAGCACTTGCCTAGCATGTGAAAAATACTATTTTGACCCCTAGCGCTCAAAATAAACAAACAAAAACTTAAAATTTTTTGAAGGTTTTTTCAGTTTTTTTTTCTAACTTATATTTGCATATGGACTAGATGTCTACTTTGTATATCACTGACACGAGGGAACATTAAAGCTCAATTAAATTAGCCTGGTGTTGTGGCACTAGCCAGCAATCCCAGTGGGAGGCCAAGAACGGAGGATGGAAAGTTCAAAGTCAGCCTCAGCAAAAGCAAGGTGCTAAGCAACTCAGTGAGACTGAGTTGTCTGTGAGACCCTGTCTCTAAATAAAATACAAAAAATAGGGCTGAGGATGTGGCTCAGTGACCGAGTGCCCCTGAGTTCGATCCCCAATACCCCCTCCCTGCCCCGCCCCCAAAAAAACCCAAACAAACAAATTGATGACTAAAATATGATGTGGTATCGCAAGTGAAAAAGTTCAAGTAGCTTTGGTTATCAAAAGCTAGCTCTTATTATTCAGAATAGAAAAATTTCTGATTCCAACGTGTTTAAACAAGTTTGCTGTATTTTTTGAATGGTGGAAGAATTGTAACTCTAATTTGGTATATTATTGGACCTTTCTAATTAGCCAAGAGATTTGAACTTAGCCAGCTGCAGCCGCAGGTCTAAAACACAGCACATAAATTACTTGTGCTTTTTAGAGTGGGTAATGAGTTCAGTTTTTTGATTTCCCTGAAGATTTGGAGATAATTTTAGAACTGTTTTTCTTTAAATCTATATTTTAAATCCCCCACTTCTTAAAGGTTTGTGTTATTTGTTCAGTTTTCTAGTTAGGAGCAGATGGTATTTGCTTTGTCAAGAGAATGAGACTTTGTCATTCTTAAAAGCATAAAGATGTTATGAGTTCATATTTTAATCTTTAAAGTATACAATTGAGTATTATAAACACATTTTAGTGTTTCCCTCATAATTTAGCTATTGCCTGTTGCCAAAGAAAACATAACCTAACAGTTTTTTCCCCCATGTATGTGTGTGTGTTTGTATGTTTTTTTAATAGGTTATTTCTGACAGACAAACGCCTAAAAAAGATGAAAGTCTTGTATCGAAAGCAATGGAGTACATGTTCGGCTGGTAGTACAATAAGAGCTAAGAACTCAATTACCAAGGAGGTTGCTACAATGAAACAGAATTAGCAAAGTACTGCCAGTTTCCTTCGGTTAGTTGTATAACCACTCTTGGCAGTGTTGGATACCCATCTTACACTTCTTTTAGAAGCCTTTTTTCTTTAACGATACAACCTGTTTGTAGCTCGCACTTTAAAAGACGCTTGAGATACATTTTGAAGAAAACTGAAGATCTCTGTAGAAAGATTTTTGTGCTTTCTGTGATAGTGCATGCTTAAACATAAAATGCTCAGCATTGATTATAATTAAATAATTGAATCTGTGGCAAGGCTTTGTAGTCTTCATGACAAGGTGGGTGAATTTCTTGAAGGAGAACTACAGTTGCTTCTACCAAGACACAAAGATTATACTTAGTAATTTGAATTATGGTCTTTTAATTTAGATATTATTTAATATTTTAATTGTGTATGTCTTGTCATGGATTGTCATCTTTCAGTATTCAGAAACCCAAACATTCTTTTAAAAAACCTATAACTAAAATTTCTTGATAATAAACTTTGTCAATTAAATGTATTGAATATTTTTTGAAAGGGTCATTTATTATTGATTGTTGCAAAAAGTTTTAGGTGTTCACTGAAATAGATAAATATATAATTAACTTTTGTATACCTATAATTTATTACCATTAATTTTTGCCATACTTTGTTCTTTCCTTCCTCTTTTATTTTGTTAAAAGCACATTTCAAATGCGATGTAATTTTAATCTAAATATATATCAAAACATTTCTATAAATAAGTATAATACCAATATTTCATTTAAATAGAGTTCATGATTTCTAAATACCTAATATTCAGTTAATTTTAAAATTTCCCAATTGTCTGCAAAATGAAATGTTATGGTTGTTCTTTTTCAAATTATGATCCAAACATATATACAGTATATCTTGTTATTTTGGCTATTAAGTTTCTAAATCTAAGTTGGTTTTCTATTTTGCTCCCTACCAACTAAATACCATAACTTGTTGAAGGAGCTCTGTGTATGGCCTGCAGTGTACCACAGTCTGAATTTAGTCTGTTGCTTTCTTGTTCATCATTATTTCATATTCTAGAAGTTAGATCTAGGGTATATAGATTAGATTCTGATTTCACTTTTCTTGGTTAGAATACTTGATCATGCTATCAGGGTTGTGGCTCAGTAGTGGAGCGCTTGTCTAGCACGTGTGAGGCGCACTGGGTTCAATCCTCAGCACTACATAAAAATAAATAAAGTTATTAAAAAAACTTGATCATAATGTAGTACACTTATAGTTATAAAAGGCATTTAATTTTACCTGTGTTACTTTTAATGATGCTTAGCTTGATCATTGGGTACATGGGCAAAGCCTGACACCTTTATTGGAAAGTTTCCTGTATCTTTATAATGCTGTTTTAAAAAGCATGCATTGATGATACTTGCCTGAATAAGTTATTTCATTAATGACTGCTAAATCTGTCATTCGATGTTGGGAGCATCAAATGAATCATCGCTTTGAACTCCATAGCCCTGGATAGTGAGATTGCCGCTTCTGGGAATATTTCAGTGCTAGGGTGCTGAAAGACACGCCGATTTGCAGGTGGCCACTGTTAAAGGGGCAGATTCCATGCTTAGCATAGGGAGCTGTGGTTGTGGCTCAGTGGTAGAGCGCTCGCCTCATACATGGAAGGCCCTGGGTTTCGATCCTTAGCACCACATAAAAATAAACAAATAAAATAAATTTATAAAAAAAATTCTAGAGATAGAAGGAATCTGAAGCAAATTTGACCTCCATGCTTAGCATAGAATTTATGGGTTTTATAGAGTTGAATTCAGACGCCTACTGCCCATGGGTGGAAGAAATATGGATATGCTCAGTAAGTAGCCTTGAGGCACCAGCTCTCCAGAACTAGAGTAGATAACTCCAATTAGCCTGTTCCTTCTTGACTTCTGTTTTTGTTTCCCTGAAGTAGTTTTTCTCATAGTAAATCCTTCTGATGTTTTTTGCCTCTAAATAAACCATGTGGGCTCTCTTTGTTAGAACCAGATTCCATCAGAGCTGGATCATCTCACCAGGCCCCGCTTTTCACTTAATATCTTTGACTGAATTTCTTAAATTTCTCTTACCTTTAACATTTCTATTCTGACTCACTGCCCTAATTTGGGGAAACTGAGTAAATGTCACGTGACAATTCCTGTTGCATTTATGAGCTGGAATTTTTGTATATAGAAGAACCTTGTTCCACTAGGGCTATTTAGTTACCATGGTACCATGCATACAAAATTGCAGAATAAGTACTTAATCTTTTTCCTTTTTCATTTCAGAGTAATGTTTTGATGCCTTGGCAACTGATGGTGGTAATCCTTTGAGTACAAAAAGATTCATGGTTTTTTTTTTTGTACTGTGAACTTGTGCCTCTTTAAAAAAAAAAATCACTCTTTATCAATTGCAGTTATTTTTCTTTTTAAATTTAAGACAGGGTCTTGCTTAGGTTGCCCAGGCTGCCTTTGAATTTGTGATTCTCCTCTTTCAGCCTCTGTGTAGTTAAAGGTATGAAGCTTTGTGCCCCACTGCATTTGCGCTTTTGTTCAAATTATCCCCCGTGGCTAGTAAGAATCTCATAAAAGTAGTTCTTATGAGAAAAGCAAGTTTTTAATTGAAGTAATATTTGATCCTGCTATGTTTATATAGGCTTCATCTTTAATACGTTTTTATAAAGAATAACTAAAACAGCATAGTGTATGGGAGGTTTTGGTATGCTTTTCAAGTCACAGCAAACTAAAATAGAAGATTTTAGTTTTCTGAGATGAATGATACCAAGGAATGAATAAAAATTTATTAGCTGGGCATAGTAGTGCATGTCTAATCCCAGCCACTTGGGAGGCTGAGGCAGGAGAAACACAATTTGGAGTCCAGCCTGGAAAATGTAGCAACTTAGTCTCGCAAAAATAAAAAAAAAAAATAAGAAAGTTTGGGGATTTAGCTGTGGCAGAGCGTCCTTCAGTTCATTTCCCATAGTTGCACACTCCCCTTTGCCCACATATATGCAAAATCCATTTACAATTACATTTATAGAGTATTTTTATTCATAAAACTCTTAAAAACCTTTCATCTTAAATAGGATTACATTTTATATTCTGCTTCATTTTATGCAGATCTCAATTATTAAAGGAAGAACTGGCTACCAACTCCATTAAAAAAAAAACAACCTTGTATTGGAGTTAATAGATTTTTTTTTTAAAGGCCTCTTTTTTGTTGTTAATTGGAGGGTTATTTATTTGCATGAGCTTTCAGAAACTTGCTTTCTGGATAAAAATATTTCTTAAAAAAATTTTTTAAGATGTTGATGGACCTTTATTTTATTCATTTATTATATGTGGTACTAAGAATTGAACCCAGTGCCTCACACATACTAGCCAAGTGCTCTACCACCAAACCATAAATCTCAGCCCCTAAAAATATTTCTTTGCTATTCTTGGGTTTACTTTTCCCCCTAATATCATCTTACCTATCATTGTATCTATTACATCATTTATTTAAAAGTTCCAGGGAAATCTCAGGAAGCAAAGCTGCTATTTTTTTTTTTTTTTTAACAGTATACAGAAGCTACTAAGATCCAGAACCAAACTTCCTCTTACAAGTTTGGAAAGACTGATTAACACAAAAGTAACTAAGAATTATAGTCACTTTAAGTTATTAAAAATAGAGGATAAAGGAGCAAAATAACATATCCATTGACATTCAAAACACATCAGAAAGGAATACCCATAAAATGGATAAAAACCATGGTCACCTGCTTAAGTTATAAGATGTGTAGAAAATGATACAAAATATGGAAGACTACCAAAATTAAAATATGTGAAAATATTAGTAATAAAGGAAAAACATCACTCAGACATTAAAGCTATACTAGAATAAACAACATCAAGAATACTACAGATAATACCTTAAAGGAAATGGAAGATAAAAATAGAGGTTTGGTTGGTTGGGAGTATAGTTCAGTGTTATAACACTTAAGTAGCATATATGAGGCCCTGGGTTTGATCCCTAGCTCTTCAAAATAAATAAATACACATATTCAAACATATACATACTTACATACATATATATTAAAAATGGAGATATCTGTAGAAATTAGAATGAACTGAGATAAAAAGGATTCATGGAGGAAATGACAAAGTTTAGAGAAAAGCAAAAGATGCATCATATACAGAATGGAAATGAAGAATACTTGGCTTAAAAAAATAAAGATTTAAAGTTACATACCTTAGAATATTATCCTGGAGAAAACAATAGCAAGACATAAACTTTGGATTTGGCCAACTAGACAAAACTTGTGCCTTATATATGCAAGCGACTTGTAAGAGCAAATTAGGCAATAGTACTATGTCCAGAGAAAAAGATTAACATATTTAAGGTATTTTTGGAAAGGATATCTGAACACTAATGGAGCAAAAGTGATTCTTAGGTATAAAAATCATTGCTCAGACATTAATCTATAGCCAGAATTCAGGGAAAATGTTTCTCGAGTGCTTCCTGAGCAATGGCTTAGAGAATGCACCTCAAACATGGTGAATAATTAGATATTCAGTCTGTGGTGAGCATTTAATTTGACACGAACACACATCACTATACAAAGTGCTGGCCAGACTTATTGCTGGAAGTTCATTCAACTGGGTAGAATTTCCTTCATCAATTTCAGAAGGCCTACTTAAAATCTAATATGACAGCAGTCAAATTTTGGTTTGCAATTAAAATACCAGACTGGCTTATCTTTGGACTAAGTCTGGGTTTTCTGCTATCCACTGATGGTAGCGAACTCCTCTGAAGTCATACATTGTGAGGTTAGGGAGAGGTAATGGTGCGTTGGAGGTAAATGATGTTGAGTTCTGAGCCACATTTTTGTGAAATTTGGAATCTTGGAAACAACTTGGGTCCCATCCTAAATGTACTATGAGTTACTACTATGCTGATCATATGGTGATGTGGTCTGATAATTTCCAGTTTATGGGTATTATTAGTTTATGTTCACATAATTGATGTGCTATGATGTAACTTGATGGTCAGGTATTACATCTCTGAGCTGCTTTTAAAACAGTGAATAGGGGCTGGGGATGTGGCTCAAGTGGTAGCGTGCTCACCTAGCATGCGTGAGGCACTGGGTTCGATCCTCAGCACCACGTAAATGTAAAATGAAGATATTGTGTCCACTTAGAACTAAAAAATAAATACTTAAAAAAACCAGTGAATAGATATTTGCTACAGAAAGATTACCCTTGCTTTGGAAACCTAGAGGTTTGGGTTATGAATT